TATTTCGGCCAATAAAATTTAAAATATTAAAAATCAAATAAAGTCTGCCGCAACTTTTCCAAGTGCACGAATGGAGAAAAAGAGCCGTATTTATAGACCGCAGAAAATGTTTATAAGACTATCCTATAAGTTTATGGTAATTACTGGAACGATTTTATGGCAAAAAAATTCCTTTGCTCGAGCCCAAAAAAAAAAAAAAAAAAGAAAAATAAAACAAACTAAAAACAGATAAACGAAATACCGAGCGTAATTGAGCACTTGAAATGCTTAAATCCCTTTCAAATGCCACGCCCCCTTATTTTTCTGGCTGCCATTTGACGGCGTTTAATTTTCTGCCAAGTTTTTGCCCCCTTTTTGCCTCTTTTTATTTATTTTGCTGCGCCATTTGCAGAATTAACAACAAGTGCAGAGCGCGATTTCTTGTCGCCGCTTTTCTTTTCTTTTCTTTTCTTTTTTATTTTAATTTATTTGTACATTTTTGTTGCATTCTCCAAAGCGGAGAGGCGTGATTTTGTAAAACTTCCGCACAAGATTAAGTTCAATAAACTGCATATACGTATGTACTTATGTGCAGAAAAAAGATAGGAAATGCACGCACAATATTGTCTCTTTCTACTCGCTCTTTTTTTTTTTTTTGCAACTTGTCATCAACTTCTTTGACTTTGTGTGGGAATTTTGCATTACAATCTGTTTTTTATTCCCTTTTTTTGTACATCATTAAATGCAGGTCTGAGTGTACTCAAAAGAAGTGAAAAAGAGATGGGATGGCAGAGTAAGAGAGAGAGAGAGATAGCAATGGAGTGTAGAGTGCATTAATCAAGCAGAAGACATCTCTACAAGTGAACTTTTTTATTTCATTGGTTCTCCGTTAGATCAGTTCAATGCACTTGTGCGACAAGGGCAACAAATGACACTGCATAACAAAATTGGGGTTGACAATTTATTATATAGGACATATATATTATATTTCTATGCGATTAATAAGAAAATAGCTCTCTGTACATTTTTTTAACTTGTTACAGCTTTAAAGAAAATTCTTTAGAGTGAAAACAAAAGTATTATTAATTCTATTGTTGTATGATACATTCTCGAATGAATGGATCCCGAAAATAATTCTCATTGGAATGCCATTTTTCTAGCTGAGTCACAAAATACATTTGAATTTGCATTTAGTCAACGATTTCGACGCCGCTGCGCAGTCGCGTACATTTTCAATGTCATGTTAAAAATTCGCTTCCACACAGAGAGAAAATATGTTAAAATATATAAAAATATTTAAAATAAATAAAAAGCCATCATAGAAAAGGTGTTAACAAATGTAATAGTTACAATATATATTTTTAAATGACATTTATTTTTTTGTTTAAGCCATTTTTGTGTACAGCAAATTTCGAATTTAAAGCATATCGCATATTTGTTTCAGTATTATTAAGAGTGCAATTGTTCTTAATTATTTTCACAGCATGATGCCTTGTTTAATTGTTTCTGCGGCAATATCGTTTTGAACTGTTGTACATTTTTCTGACCCCTCTCCAAAATGGCCAGGTACTTTTTTGTTTACCCTGAGAAAGTGTTGGGGAACTTGTTCATTTGTTGTGCACCTTTTATTTACAACTTTCTTTGTACAAGTTAAGGAAAACTTGTCAAGCGAAATGCGTGGCTCCAGAGCCATGAACAAAGTGTTTTATTTGGACGAACAAGTTTGATCTCCTTTCGAGATAGCGATAGCTATACTCTTGCACACAGAAAAAAAAAAACTTAATTCACACCGGAGTTGAATATATAAAAAAACTAGGTAGGTACATATACGAACAATGCGTGGGAAGTGTTTTCTGAAGCGAGGAGAGCATAATTAAAACCTAGGCATAGTCAGCTGTGATAAAAGATGTTCAAATGCGATAAAGCAACAACAAAAGCCATGGAAAAACACTTGAAAACCTGAACAAAAACAAATTTTAACAAAAAAATAAAAAAAAAAAACCTGTATAAGGTATGTTATGCTAGAGAACTTTGAAGATGCTGATACGATGATGTAACAACAAAAAGTGAGCAAACAAATAAATGATTACGCGAATGTGTCGAGTATCGTAAGATAAACATATGTAAAGATCTCTTAAGGTTAAATGTTTTTAAATTGGAATGAATAGTGTATAAAGTGTGGCAATCAAAAATTTTTGACATTAAACAAATTTTAAATCAGTAACTGATTTTAAAATAATTCTAACTATTTATTAAATTGAATTATTTAATTTAAATCAAAGAAAGTAAAAAAGCTGAATAGTTTACAACCTTATATAATTATATTTGTAATTTTATAAATTTACTTTATCAATAAAATCTGCATCATTCGATCAACAACGTTTAAGACAAGACAAGGGTATATAAACGTATTTCACACATTTGGCTTTCAAATTCCGGCATCATCAAAACCCAATTTATCAGATATCTTTCAAAACAAACTCTCCACTTTGGCAAATCACATTATGGACTTTTTCTTTCGTTCCTGTCAAAGCAAATTAAGTGTACAATAACCCTGCATTAGGCCAAGATGGACATCAATAATGTAACAACAAACTTTTATAGAGTCTTGAAAAGAAACTCATTTCACTGATTTGTCTCCCCTCACGAGCTCCCATTAGAACTGAAATTAGAGCAAATCACAGCTTGATGACTTTAAATTGGACTAAGTTGGCAAGTTGCGCTATCTTCTGCCTTTGGGCCAAGTTAGCAAATGCCAGAGATGCCGAACAAAAGATGAGAAAAATTATATAGAATCTGTGTCACTGCTAGAGATCGTAAAGATCATGAGTCAGTCACTGGCTTTTTCTTCTTTTGTCGTTGATCTATTCCTACCTGACAGAGAAGTACATTAGAAAAAGGTCACAGATGTTTTCATCTGCAAAGAGGTCAAAATAATTTCATCTTACAAATTAGTTTTTTGGAATATACTAAAAATTTAAACAGAGACTTTATGTAAAATAAGAATTTGCCTTTATTTCTTGGTTTTTAATAACAGCTTTAATTACTAGGAATGCCAATAAACAAACTGAATGTAAACTTGAACTAATAAATCAAATTTCTAAAAACAAAATGCTCATTTAGTTTATTATAAAGAAGACTTTAAATTTAAAGGCTTTGCAAGAACAAAAAACCTGGTACTCTAGTGTCGAATTTGGCCAGCATAAAATGGGGAAAAATAAAAAATCAATGAACTCAATAAGCCAACACCTCCCGGTGCCCCCGATTTCCCATCCCGGTTGTCTGTCAACCGTTCGATGGCTCAGTTTTGGGGGAACTCAGAACGCATTATTTTGCATAATTCTCTTTTTTCGCCTCGTTCGGTTCGCGTTTTACTGCTGAAAGCTTTTGACGCCCCTTAGTAACCAAACAGACAAACAAACAAACAAACAAACAAACAAACAAATAATAATTAGCAAGGAAAGATATTATGGTGTGTGACACACATCAAAAACAAGTTGTTCGGGAATCATTAAGGAGTGAGTCAGAGAAAAATGATTAAATTGAAACCAGGAGGCACACATATTGAACTTGAACTTGTGCTTAATTAAAAACTGTAAAACGTTAATTCAAACCATTTTTCCGTGTCACGTTTCCAGTTTATTTTATTTTTTTTTTATTTTTTTAGCTGGGGCTTTAACGTGATGAAACAAAAAGATGGAACATGAAAATGCGAATAAAGTTGAAGCAGCTTAACGATTACGATCATGATGATCTAACGCTAATGTCAAAGTGGTTCTCCGATTAGCAACAGAGTCCAAAAATTGGCACGTTCGAGAAGATTAAGAAAAATGGGGAAAAGGGGAAGAATGAAGCGGAAAACAGGTCAAACCAAAAATATACGATAAATGTGCCAAAGCAAATGCCATAAACACGATTTCAGAAAATAACTGAGATTAAAAGACGGTTTCTAAGAATTTTCGTGTATTTTAAATGACAAAAATTTTACAACAAAATTCTTAAAAATTCAGAAAAAAACCAACAAAACAAAATTCAAAAACATACAATAAAAATATTTTTGTATTTATTTATTTGATGTATGTAACTTTGCCTTAAATACTGCGAAAATAGAATAAAATATTTTATCGTAGATACCAAGTTAAAAAAAGAATCTGTGAAAATTTTACTTTGTCACTTGAAACGTAAAAAATACGCAAAAATATGTTTTTGTCAAAAATACCGCAACATTTGGTAACTTTACTAAGAGTCAAATTGATTAACCAATAACCAATATTTAAAGTAGAGCTCATAAGCTAATTAGTGGTTTTAATGACTTCTAAATCCCAATTTGGAACTATTAAATTTACCCTTAGTATTGGCGAAAAATACCGCAAAATACGGTAAACTGAATTTAGAGAAGCTCAAAACGATCCCAAAAAGGAAGATGGGGAGAAAGAGGGGGTGAACGGGAAGGGGCGTGTGCGTACTTGTGTGTTTGTGTCTGGCGTTTGTGTGTATGAGTCAACGGGCAAAATGCGGGCCGACTGCACCTTGCAAAAAGAGAAGGTGATAAAGAGAGAGGGAAGGGAGAGGGATAAAGGAGGGAGCGAGAGAGAATAAGGTCAAGCGGGGTGCGGCAACAAATATTTCCGCTGATAGCCGTTGATAAAAGGCTCTCTCTTCCTCCTTCAGTCATTCTCCCTCTCTCTTCACCTTTCTCTCCTCTTCTTTCATTTATTTTGCTGAATGAAGCACACACAAAAGCCGAAATGCCTTTTATATACATAGTTTAGATTTAAATATTTAACAAGGCATAAACAAACAAAAAAAAAACTACAAAGAATGCCGAGAGAAATTTCACTTTTGGGCTTGGTTTTTTTCGCCTTTACGCACACTTTCTTTTGTACGTAGACTTTTGGCGGCTTTTGCAAATGATGTTTGTAAAACGAATTCCAATATACCTTTTTGGAAAATCAACAAAATTAAATGTATACACTGCAAAAATCAACAACAAGAAAAACATACGAATTATGCGTAATCACTTTTATTTTGGTGTAGTTGTAAACTGCTGCTTCTCTTTTTCTCCTTTTTGCGTACTTCGTTTTTTGTTTTGCGTGTCCGCTTTGGCCTGCCGCTTCGTTTGTTCTGTGAAAAACCCCGCACTTCGATGCACTGAACAAAAAAATATAACCGCGATCGGGGGGAATCAGGATCACAACAATAAGATTGGCTGCTTTTCGCTCGATTTTCTTTTTGCCGCACGCCGCTATTTAAAAGGAATGGATGTGGATGGCTTTGGAGTCTGAAAAAAAACTGTAAAAAAAACTAAGTGGCAATGGAGGTGGGCAAGCATCGATACCAATATCGATTGTTTGGGTGGGTGGGAACTTCGGTGGTTGAGAACTTGAATTTTCCATGAGAAATTTTAAAATTCAACTTTTCCTAACATTTATGTTAAAATCATTATTTTCCTTACATTTATGTTTAGATCATCATTTTCCTAACATAAATGTTTAAAATCATCGTTTTACTAACAGAAATGTTAGTTCACTTGCTAGAGGTGGCAAAAAATCGTTGGCTGAAAACATCGTTCTTGAACTCAACAGAAATGTTAGCTTACTCACTGAATGTGTCATAGATGTTTTTCCATCTCTAACAGTGGAGGGTGTCTCAGCTAACTGAGGAGGGTAACTTCGCTACATGTGGAGCATGTTCCCACTACATGCAGAGAAAGTTTCTGATAATTATCGATAAATGTGTCTTCCCGTCTATTTTGTGTCTCGCCCTTTTCGGATAAGGGGTTGTTTCGGTGAAAATAATAAGAAGTAATAGCCTAATTAGAAAATTAATACCCAAAAATAGGCTATGTTGGATGTTCTTCCATTTGCAATAATCAGTCATTCCAAATCGAAAAATGGTCTCACCAAATTAAGAGCACTCTATTTCTACTGCACTGTTAACGGTTTTGAGCAAGCCTTGTCATTAGAATCTAACAGTAACTGTTACTTTAACATGCACAATTGTGACTGTTAGCGCACTGGTAGTGCCGATTGGCTCTGCCAGATGTCGCTTCCATTTGGTATTTTTTGTAAATAAACGATGGTATATTACTAAATACCAGCTGAGCGAATTGCGTGTGTGCGTTCGTGTGAAATATTTGTGAATATTTTTTTACTGTGACAAAATAGACGAAAATCGGCTGTGGAAAACCGAAGTAAACACAAATTACGGATAATGGCGAATAGCCCCTAACCCTTGTGTACCGGCAGTGGCTGTGTGGAAAGCGGAAAAGCCATAGAAATCGCACATTTCGATAAATTTGCAAACTTAACCTCGCAGCGCTTTTTTTTTTGCAAAAACCACAAAAAAAAGAGAAGAAAAAGAAAACGAAAAGCGAAGTCGGAGAGTGCGAGCGAGACAGCGATAAGCGAGTGAAAAGTCTCTTATTGTTATTATTGTTGTAAAAACCTTTATTTTTTAATCAACCGGCGATTTTATTCTCACAAACACACTCTCAAGACGTAAAAGAATAAAACCAAATAAATACACTCGCAAAAACAAAAGCAAATGAATACCGGTAAAAAACCCTAAACAGAAGGCATTGAAAAAAGCAACAAAATGTACGTACAAATGTGTGTGGTCTGTGTTAAGGGGCAGTTAGAGGCGTGGCTGTATATATATATATATGTATCCCAATTAGTAGGTCTAGTTGGGCTTTTTATCTTCTCCTCTTTGATTTGCACATTCTTCTCGTGTGCAGGCAACGCAACAATAAAAAGAAGAAGATGGGGAAAAGAAGATTCGGGCAAAAAACCAATTGTGATTTAAGCTTGGAAGTTTAACCCTTAGACAGGTAGTGTGCAGTTTTAAAATGTTGAATTTGAATATCCTTCTTGAAAATTTTTTTATATTTAGTCTTCAACAACAATGACTCACCAAAATAAATCTCAATTTTTTTTTTTAATTTTAGTGTAAATATGATATTAAGCTGTTATAGCTAAATTATATAGTTTAATATATTAAATGCATTTGAAACTAATAAACCTCTATAATGACTGGAATATATAGTGTAATTTGTGCAAACGTTTAACTGAAACACGATTAATGAATTAACGTGTTATTTTTTTTGTTCATTTTTTGTTTGGCGCTATAAATAAAACCCAAATGTTGCTGATAACGGAATTTCTTTAGATAAGGCTTTCTATTAGCCGCACAGTGTGTGCCAAAAATATGTATAATATAACGAATCTTAATTGTAATTTTGTGTTTTTTTTCAGATGATTTCCCCATTTTATTGCCATGGCTCTGACAAATCTTGTCGCATTTATTGCCGACAAATGCAATCTATTATAAAATCATCATTAAAATATTAAATAAGTCATAAGTTCAAAAACAAGTTCTAGACAAAATTTCAGAAGGAAAAACTGACATATTTTGAATTTATAAATACCAAAATTCGTAACGAAGAAAGTAATCATAGAGCAATAATGGATCAATTTCAAACGTCGCTCAATCCACGAAAACAGGAGCTTTTGGAGGCTCGATTCATTGGACTGAGGGTAAGTCCGAAAATTTATTTTGATTAATAAAAAAAAAAAAACAAAAAAAGATATAAATGTTAAAATTTCAAAGACATTATGATCAGAAATCCAATAGTTCCTTAAATTTGTGTTAAGCTTAATAAAAAATAACATGCTTTTTTAAAATCTAGCAAATGATTTTGCAATAAAACTTTTATGTTGTTAAAATGTTTAAATATAAATGTTTTTAGTTTTAAATTTTCTATTAATAAGGTGCTATAAACAAATTATTTATTATATTCTTAGAATATTATTTTAGGAAACTGTGGATGAGAATAAATTTTATAACTTTTTTCATTTTAATGGAGTGCTATTCTTCGAAATATTTGTTACAAAACTATAGATATAAGTTTCTTTTAAATTTTGCTAGAGCCAAATCAAAAAGAAGTCGTTGTCGTCAAAACCCTTTTTTTTTAATTAATGATAACGTTTTTCGGGCAGTCAACAGTAAATTTTATAAATTTGGACACATTAAACTACCTAAATTTTCTCACTGTGTATCGTTTTGCATAGGTCGCGTCGATTGGCTGTCAATAGGCTGGCCTCCGGGGCCATCGAAGGGTTAATGGCAAACGGTTATTGCACTTTGGAACTTTTGTTGTTTCGTTGAGATGCACATGCAGATGCAGTTGTTGTTGCAGATGATTTTCCGAAGTTTTTTTCCCTTGATGTTTTCCATCTTTTTTTTTTGCACTTCTTTCTTGGCTTTGTGCCGCTTTGTTGAAGCGCAAGAAGAGGTATGAAAATGTGGAAAAACGAAAATAAATTAGCATTGGCAAAAGGGGAGAACGAGAAAAGTTGGGGGAATCTGGAAGGAAAATAAGGGAAATTGCGTGAAAAATGGGAAGATGTGTGTGTATATGCACTGTAAGTGGGAGGAAATAGGGGAAAAGGTGGGTGCCTATGGCCAGCACCCATTTTCCAACTTCCTTTCCCCGTTTCCCACACATTTCTGAGCTGCTTTTTGTTGGTACTTACACAAAAAAAAACATAAAATACAATTTTTTTAAATTTGAAAAACTTATTTAATATTATACGATATTAACGAGATCTTTGATTCAAACTATACATTTTAAATATTACACACTGCCTTTGATGAGACATATTTCTAAAACCAAATTCGAATATTTAAGTTGTCAAATATTTACTTGTCCATTTTGTACTTGGTTATTCAAATAGCAAAGAAGTTTCTCAAATATAATCAGTACCTATTCGCCTTACAAATTTCTTAAAAAGCAAAACAAAATAATTTGTTAAAAAATTGATCATTATTAAAATTATAACTGTAGTAAGACATTAAATTAAATTGGTCTAAAATTTGGTTTTTAAAGTTTGTTGACAGTGTAAGACTTAATCGCAGCACTACCACAATCGCAGCCATAGCCCTCATCTTGTTGTTGTAGTCAACATCTCGTCATACACACTTTTGGGAAACATGTACAGTCAATACATACATAAATGCACAGCACTCGCAGTACATGGGCATATTTGCACCACCCACCTGAATGCCCCCCAAAATGCTTATACACCGCCTATTTTTCCGCATCCCCAACCCATTTTTGGTCCTTGTTTTTTTTTTGTTTTGTGGGTGGCTTTTTTTTTGCATTTTGCCACGTTGTTCTTTACTTTGTGTGTAATGGAATGAATGTTAAAATAAAAGAACAGCTGATAAGCAACAACGTTCAGCGGCAGAGTATTTTGCGGAGAAAAAAAAAGATAAAAAATCACAGGAAGATAGCAAACAATTTTGAAATTCCCCTGGTTGTCAAATAAGTATTTAATGAAATTTAACCAAATGTTCTATACTAGTTACAAAAAATTTGAAAAAAAAATGTGTTATAAGAGATAAAACATCATCAAGTTTTCCAGAAACTATCTGAATAGCTTATCTGCAATAAATTTTAAATCGATTTCCAGAGCATTATTCAGGATTTCTGAATCGAAGTTACATATATATGCATTGATGCTCAAACTTTTATTTATAACAAGTATTTAATTTTTATTTTTTCTAGCTCGAAAATACTAATAAAATTTTATAAAATTAAATGTACATAGTTTTTTTGCGATTACGATAACAGTGTGTAAACATAGAGCGAAAAAAGGTAACTTCCGCATGTTAACAGAATGAGAAATTGTTCTTTTTTTCTCAAAACAAGTTAACAGTTTCGCCGGTTCTCTCTGCTTATTTTTCGCATTCTTTTTTGCTCTCTTTCGCACTCTCTCTCTCTCTCTGTTAATGTCGTAGGTCGGGCGCCGTTCGCTCGGCCCACGTCGGTGCTTTTTACATTCCAGGAAATAATATAAATAAAAATAATAGTTACAGAAAAATTAAAGTAGATAAAAAAAATTTTAAAATAAACAAAATTTATATTACTACTAAATTACAACTACATTGCTAAATTACAATAATTTTAAATAATTATAATAGCATATATTAGCTTAGCTCGTCAATAAGTTTTCGACTTTTTAACATTCCTGATATATACTTAAAAATCTGCTGCACAAAAAGAAAGAAAAAGAACCAAAAAAAAGAAGAAATTATTTATGTACATATATGTATGTACGATGAATAAGCTACTATTTTTTGGAACGCAGCTGTAAATCACAAACATAAAAGTTGTGTTAATAGAAGCCTTAAAAGGCGAGTAAGGATTTTCCAGGGAAAAAAGGGCAAAATAAAGCAGCATCCGCGAAACGTTGCTGCCGCTGCCGCAGTCGACGCTGGCATCGACAACG